ATGTAGGCAGTTCCCAGGTGCAGCAACACCCTCGCTGCAAACTAAACAACGGGAATCCCCTTATGCATATGGACATTGCCGGCAGCGATGTCGACAACAAGGGTCGCACAAAGCCGACTTCCGATGGGAAGGTTCCAAGTCCCTTTACTTGTCGCTAGCGGACATGGGTCAGCCGGAGGGTGCGGTCAGCTATTTGGTAGCTCCACATTATGTCAAAAGGACTCAGTCTCGCAAGCGTCTTTGAGACGGCTTTATTCCTACAGGAAATACACAGATATGATGCGCGGACGACCGCAGTAGGCAGTAGACGGCGCCAAATACGTCAAAGTCACGACAATCTCAAGCGACGCCAGGATCTCTTGGGATACCTTCCTCCGGCAGCAACATTAAGAAGCTCTTAGCTAGTCTTGATTTACAGAGAAATTTATCCGACTTGACCGATAAGATACAATTCACATGAAGTCTCGTGTATCCAATAAAAGCTTAAAATTTTGCGGAAACCAGAGGAGAAACGGGGCACCTTGTTAGGCGGCGGTTGCTGCGAAGATAAAGTCATGCTGAGGCCCCACCAACCTTTTGGAAATGGCCGTCTGGATCGGAGGGGCCAGATGGAGGGAGACCACCTCCCACCGTAGTTGTGGAAGGAAACGAAGGTGCGGCCGATCGCGGGGGTGCTGGACTGCCCGAGAGCATCCCCTGCGTATCACCGTTCATGATTCTGTCGTTGATTAACTGCGCTGGGGGTCCCGTGTGTGGCGGAGCAACCGGCTGTGAATCCGACCCGCTTGGGAGATGTCTCTGGTCAGATGCTCCAGTCTCCACAGGCCGCGGCATCTGGTGTGGCATCATGCCCATGTCGCCCTGCATTGGCGGCTGGCCACCTGTCGGGTAGAGGTATCCGTATGGACCATTGGGTGCTGGCGCTGGTGTTTGCCCCGGCTACATTCAGGGGAGACCAAATATACTTGACTAATAGGCACGCACCATAGTAATAATTTTCGGCGAAGGGCTTATTAGCGTCAAGTAATCACAAAAAAGAGCAAAGACGGTGTCAACCACAGTTACGGTAGTTTTACGCGCTGGAAGGCCTGTTTTCCGTTCGAAAAAGATGAATCGGTGCAGAATGGCATTTGGAGACTGCTTAAACAGTCTTTATGTGCTAGTGTAAATAAGGTGGTTCAGATGTGCATAGCCATTTCGGACATCTATGATCGAATGCAGTTCACATTTGCAATCCAGCATGTGGAGTCCAAGTGTCCCCTAGTTCACTAGCACTGGTCGGACGCGAAAGTACTAGACGACCTGGCAAGAAACTGTCATAATTGAAGTAACCAGATGTTAGCGTATGGTGAATTTCCAAAAAAGGCAGAGTACCTATGTCGGAACCACGGTGTAGAATTATTTTGCCTTCGCTTTTGATGTATTAATTTCTAAGACAGTGCCTTACTCAGATAATACTGCACGGAGTGCAAAATACTCCTATAGAGTTAGCGCAAGGGCCACGGGCTCGTGGCCCAGTGGGTAGAGGCGTGAACTTCTAACTAACAGGTCGCCAGTTCAAGGCTCGGGTGTTCCACACTTCGGGCTGGGGTATGACTGACTGACGACGGCTAGTAAGCCAAAAATGGCCATTCCAGTCTCCCTTGTCTTTGTCGGTAATGCCATTCTGCCTATGTATCGTGCGCCGCTGTGCGGCTGCTGGTTGGGCTAGAGAGAGAGCCCTTAAGGCACAACGGAACGGGTGAATTCCGTATGGACGATCGGTGAGCGCCCCCTACCATTAGCGCAAACTATCGGATTATCTTTCTACGGTCAGTTTATAAATATCGCGGAAGCGAGCATCAGTCTAGATATCTGTTGCGCAATTGGGACATGACCGAGGGACACTTAGCGGCCTTCTTTCCGACGTCCTTTCAACTGCAGATGAAATATGCAGCTAGCATTAAAAGTAATTAGTTTGGGAGGAGCGGCCAGTTCCTAAGGACAGAATTATCTCACCCTTTGTGGTACGTAGCCACGGTCATCAGGGGTTCCCATGGGGACTGGTTGATGCTGCGGTGGCATAGGTCCACCTAGAAAAGAAAAAGCAGTATATGAACTATCGTTCGGATCAGTGATAGCGACAAAGAACGCTATAATAAGGCCGTCGAAACAAAACCGTCAATAAGCACCACGTGGGGATTAGGAAGACCTTCCCTGTGCGATACGGAAACAACTTACAGGCGACTAAGTGTCTACGCCAACTAGGAAAATTTGTGATCACTTTTCCCTGTTTAAAAAAAATCCTAAGAGGGACAGAGGACGCGCGTCATGCACTTAACCTTTGTTTTACTATTTTATGTTTTCGATATAGTCGGTGGACCTGAAAAGGCTTCTCCACAAATGAGATGCGTAGATTGTTACCCAATATACACATTGATTTTGAGAACTTCAGCACGGAACCGCGAAAGGTGCGAAGGGCCTATATGTAGCCTCCAAACATGGCAACCTTCATCTCTCCGACGTCGACCCTCGCGGTCTCAAGACTGGGGTATCTTATAACACAGATCTCATTCCATTTTTTTCCAAGCTAGAACGGTAGGGCGGAACAGACAAAACAACGGCTGACTGATCGTCAGTTAGACTATGTTCAACTCTCTCCCTAAGATGACCAGGGCCTTCGTTAATGGGCAGCGAGCTATAGTGTAAGATGAAGTTGTTACTTGCTCGAAAGTGGCCTTGAATGAGGCAAGCATACTGTTATGATCCAGCTCACAAAACATACCGTTCTTAGTGTTTTCGTCGGTCAGAAGGAAACGCTTCTTCTAGTCGCTTAATGTATGCCGATGAAGCTATTTTACAGTCATGGCCTGAAAATACGTCCTGGGCCATCCGGCTGTGTGGTTAGGTCAGGACAGTGTTCACCCATGCCAGGGGCCAGAAATGAGATCAAATAAAGCCGGGTAATGACTTGGACGAGGATGCACTCATTAACTATCTGCGCCACGGCGCATCCTTTAATTCCACCTTGGCTGTCATCGGTCTATGGCTACAAACTTTACTGCCGTGGCAGCGGCGTTCAGGCTAAGGCAGCAGCAAGAATTGCTGTCGCGATCCTGACCTGCTATCCCTTTGCTACCACTGGAATTCAGGTTTCAAACATTCCCCATGGCTGTTTGATATCCAATCAAACATAAGGCAAAGACGCATCCCATCATTTATCCTACTCGAATAACTCATTAAATGGGTACCTGAAAAAGCTCAATTGGGTTTTGAACTGTTGCTCCAACAGGTAGTGTAGGGACCACAGTGTAGCCCCAATTGATGCTGCCCCCAAAGTGTAGGCAAGTCTTCGAAGAAGTCAAAGGCTCATCTCAACTACCGCAAAGATCCGCGTGTACCGGTAATATGCCCACGCGGTCCTTAACCGATTGAAGTGCTGGACTGTGCGCGTAATAGACGAAGAAACCCGCTTCCGGTCATCGATATCCACGAAAGATCTTCTCTAATAAAACGGCTCACGCCCGTTGGGATAGCCTCGCGAGAATATCTCGACTGGTCGAAGAAATACAACTAATGGAAGGAGCATTCCGCATACGGGAGGGGGCATCGGAGCCGTGGCTGGGTCCCTCACGCCACTCGGAATGGAAGTTTTTCACAGGTCTGACTCCATAATCCGTCGGCAAGTGATACGGACAAAAGACCCTATCCCCAGACATATGTCGGCCGTTGTCTGCCGACTTTGGTACAGCTACAAGATGTGCAACTACGTTGGGAAAACCGATCGACGACCGCAAACGCGGATGCACGAGCATCGGTTGGTTGTGAGAAGGTTGAACCGGAAATCGCAGGTAGTAAACCATGCCGCGTGAATGAGATACAGCTTCAATTTTGGCGCCGTCGAGATCGTGAGCTGAGACGATGATCATACAGCAAGGCGGGTGCAAGAAGTCTGGATGTCCACCGACCGCTCTGTAAGCCGCCGCACCAATTTGCCTCCCCCTATATGGTTTTATGAACCTTCTGCCGGGGATGGTCACGGCGCGGGGCAAGTGGGGTCGCCAATTACTTCCGCGGTCAATGAGGGCGGGGGTGACGCATGTTACGGTGAAATGCGGGTCGGATCCAGTCGCACAGGCAGTATTGGCGGGCTACAAATCAAGCAAAGGGCGCCATATAAGGAGACGTGTGTGCATGAGTAGGCGAAACGTCGGAAACGTCAGACTTCCAACAAATCTCCCAGTGAACGCTAGTCGGGTTTAAGCATAGTCTTCCTTACTAACAACACGATTTCAGAACAGTTAACCTACATCGGATGATGCGGGGGTTTTTATTTATCAATTCCCATCCAACCGCCTTCTTCTTGACTGTAAGGTTACGTTAGAATCTACATAGGTAAGACCGTCCGATGCGTAAGTTTGGCTCAAAGAAATACTATGATAAACGCCCGTTGCCTGAATTCTGATCTATGGAAATATTTTAAGTTTTCAATATTTGGTTTTACTTTGTGCTGCGCCGCAGTATGTCGCCGATCCTGTCTAAGTTCGCCATTGACTGCACTTTAAAAGTATTTTTACATCATTTTAACGGCATCAGACTGGCTTCAGGACGTTTTCTGACGGTGACGATGTACTGCTCTGCTGGCACCAAGTTACGATGACCATAGAATTCCATGTATCGGGTGGACGAGATCACTAACTCAGTCGGTTTTTCAATAACGGATGCAAAGACCTGAGTGTTTTTGAGTTATGTATTAAGCGAAGATTAGGCATCTCTCGAGGTTAATGGGTCAGTTGGAAGAAGTGTGGGGTTTTGAATGTTTCGGCCGAAGTTTATGTCAAAGGCAGAGAAGGGTCGACATCGTTACCCAAACCAATGTTGCTCATCGGGTTTCTGTGAGCTTCATGACGCGTAAATATGCATGCAGAGAAGTTTCCACTGCCACAGAGATACGGACGTGTCAGGCACTCGAGAAAACAGTTCTCTTGTACGGTCGTAAATTCCAAGCAAATGTCGAAGTTCTGACAACCTGTGCCTGAAGATCATCTTTTTATCAAAGAACACCGGCTTCGTCTGAAGGATGAGAATCTGCCTTCGCTTGGACGCAGCAAGAATATCCCAGGCCAACCAAGGAAGACGACTCAGGCGGTTTGGGCACGTCCATCGTTACCAGCTCCGGATCTAATGCTACTGCCAAACTGGAGGTGTCAAAAGGTCTCAAAATCTGACGATACACAGACTTGGTATTCCATCTGCATCATTGGAAACGAGGATAATCAACATCTTAGGATCCATTGTCGTAGATCATCAGACGTGGAGATGTGCAAGTACCGATATCATCGGGGTCGGCCAGATCAGACATGAATACGGCTGAATCAAGTGCGAGCACTCTGTAAACCACAACAGACGGGGGCTTCTAAGCTGAGTTATGGCTAGCGACGGATACCTACAACTAAGACCACCAAAGCAAACCTGAGATGAACGAATAAAAAGCCCGACTGGAATGCCTCCTCTCACTTACCCAGAGACTGGTGGAGGACGGTTCCTTGAGTAACATACATGGGATTTGGCATGTAGGAAGCAGACATTGGCCCGGAGGGTGGAAACGGGCCACGTGTGTGGCTTACGGTAGGAGGCTGAGTGAAACCCGGTGCTTGAGACATGGAAGAAAACTGTTGCTGTTGCTGCGAAGGCGGAACATTTTCACGAGGCAGCGGTGGTTCTTGGTGCATTACCGGCGGTTGGTTGGTTGGTGGCAGACCTTGAACAGGTTGCAGACCAGGTGCACCATGCATTGGGAGTGGCCGCTGTGCTGGATTTGTAGTTTGATCAGCAATGGTAGCGAGGTAAGTAAGGTTCTTGTGCAACAGCTGCTGAAGTTCGTGAACTTCCTTTGTTGCTCCTGATTTCTGGTAATTAATGATGCTGTGGATAAGGCGAACATTCTCGTCCAGAATCTAAAGGGGGCGACGGGCTTCATAGAGGTCGGGTGTTTTCAAAGACATTACATATTATTTTCAATTGCAATAAATTACAGATAAATGCGCAATACAAGCCTGTGGTGTGATAGAACCTACAATAAATGGGATGGCGCGGTCAGCCCGTCCACAAACACAAATCGAAGTAATAACCTTGTAACCTGATTTTGCGGTCGGCCACTGCAAGTAAGATTTTAGTTTATTTGTCTTGTATATAGTTGAACTGTACATATTTCTAATTGCAAATAAGTACAAATAAGTAAGTTTGGCTCTTCAGTGCTTACTTAATTAAGTAAGCACTGAAGAGCCAAGCTGGATTATGAGGCCACACATTAATTTGGTTAACCAGATTGCCCGTACTGCGGTAAATCGGGCAAAAAGCACCGCGGGAGGCTGCCCGAAACGTCTGACAAAAAGCCAAGTCGGGATTAAAATCCGATGTACAACATATATGTTGTACATCGAACTAATATTTGCACATGAGCTAATGCGACGACTTTCATACTAACTTAGTGTACGTAGTTGCCACGAAAATATATATATATATATATATATACTAGTGCATGTGTGGCTACACCTATCCATAATTATAGATATGTTAACATAAGATGCATTTAAAAGATAGTCACTGGCCTTCTGAGTTGACGCAGAGGAAATAACGCCTTCGCGTCTAGCATTTAGTGGAGGGGGATAAAACATTGCCTCTTGACGTGGCAGCATAGCAGAAAGGGACTGATCTATAACTATGAACAATCAATTTTCCACAGATGTACGAACGACGCGCCTGACGAAAATATCGGAATCTGACAGCCGAGAAACCAAGTGGTAGAAGTGTGCGACTGCGGAAAACAAACTGTGAAAATTAAACAGTAGGGAAGATATACCGACATAACCAAAAATCCTACGGAATAAAACCACGAGAAACAAAAGTTCGAATTATATTTGAACCTGTTCCAGTCGTTATGCGTTTACGGCATATAATTATTGATGAAGACACCATCGGGAGATCCATGCAGACGTACACGAATGACAACCTTCGCATAGGACAACCGGACTACACATCTAGGATTTCTTAATAGTATTGCATTATTCTATGGGGGGTCTTTGCAGATATTCAACCCAAATGGTAAAGGTCGGATAGATAGATTTAGAGTCTTGAAGTTCCGCCTATTGCTTCACTAACTCTTGACGCAATCCCAGCAGGAATAAAACAGCAAAGTTCAGGTTCATAGGCTGTTTGTCCTTTTCGTAAAATAAAGAGATATGTCGCATTATGAAACAGATGCTTTCAAGCACTTAGAAATGCTTAGGTGGCCATTCGCCACCTAGTGGTCACGTGCAGACAGCCATAGCTAGCAAACCGCACTTAACAATTTACTTATATAGCGCATAATAATAACCCCACTTAAAAATTGTATGTGGTCACGGTCTCAAAAATAGCGGCAGACAGTACATTCTGCCTCAACACAAAGCGCAACCAGATAAGTATGGGAACCTGGTTTGTCCGATGAATCTGCTTTCTAAGATCGCATCCCTGCCCACAGAAGAAGAAGAAGAAGAAGAAGAAGAAGAAGAAGAAGAAGAAGAAGAAGAAGAAGACAAGATTATACCCTTGGGTGGCTCGAGTACTACAAGTCAATTAATGAAATAATGCGGTCTCTATGGTAATGGTCTGTTCAAGCGGTCAGACTAACGGTCGAATTTATAAATTATGGAGTGTGTAGATCTATGCACATTTCCGATTTTTCACTTGCAACTTACTTGTGCAATTGAACTCTTCTGTACAGTTTTTCTAATAATCGAAAGTACACACAACCTGAGTTATCGCGCGCCCTGTGCTTGACTACTGCGTTGTGTCAATGCTTCATTCATTGCGCTTACTGGCCCCACTCCTTTTTAGTTAATTCCCGCGTGACATTTTTATTTCTCGGCCATATCTCGTCGGACGTGAATCCATTCGAGCAACAAGCTTCGGTAACTGACTTCAGCTCGGACCATTCTGGACTTTACCCGGCGGATTCACTCTACAACGACTGATATTGGAGGAGGCCTCGTTTTCGGTAGACTGTACAGTTATTTACTTTTGCGGTTTCCCCACTTCTTTTTGCTATTATTTTGTCTGTAAGAAACACAGCATTCCCCACCTTAAGTTAAATTTTTGCTGTATCTATTTTTTTGTAGTTTTAATTGCCGTTTATACTGCAAATGTAAAGTAGGCCGGTTTTTCATGTCTTCCAGTGATTTATCCTTTCACAAATGATGCTTGTGATAATACTTATAATAATATTCACTCTGTATTTATGAAGTAAATGACAGAGGCCCTTAAAATTCCATATAAGGCCCCGGATCGTCTGGGTGATCAGACTTTCGGGACAGCAGAATGACACAGGCAATGCACTTATCTCTTGGGTAAAACAAGCCTGCCATAGCAAACACGCTATGCTATTTAGAGATTTTAGCTCTCCAGACATCGACTGAAAATTGATATGCTGCACGCGATCGGAAAACCCATTAGAACAGAATGTCCTTCTCTTGGTAACTGAAGAATTCTTAACTCATCACGTTACTATTGACATTCAATTCCACTGTTGACAGCAGTGAAGCTGCTCGGATCCTATCATTACTGGGAATGTAAAATGTGCCCTTCAAATGACTCCTAAAGTGCCCCTGGGCTGAAGTGGTAATTTATTTCCTGCTTGGGAGTAAGTCACCTTTTTTACACCAAGTTCGAGCAGAAAGTGCAATGAAATGGATATGAAACTTTTCTCGAGTGAAAAATCTGCTAAAGAAAAGGGAGTGGAGCACTGCCCAAGCACCTGACCCAGAAAGCCATTGACTATTATTCAAGAACGTAATGCAGTACTTGAAAGAGAGCTGTTGCCCACTTAGGAGGAGATCCAGAACTTTCGGGCAGAGTGGGTGACGTTAGAAATAAAAAAAAACCTTGCATTGAAGAGGGAACTTTAAAAAATGTACGTCAGGTGTTAACAGCCAGAGCATTTCTCTGATTTTAAAAAACAAAGAAATATATGTCGTAATCTACTATGGAACGAAAAATATGTGAGTCGAAAATATTCAAAAATATGCAGCGAAATTCCCCAAAGGACTCCATTTCCTGTCTAAAGGATTGCCAGATAAATAAGTTTTTCGATAATTCAGACAAGGGGAACTCGTTATCTGATCCATTCACGTCCGTGAATATGGAGGAATCGGATTTTGATGAAGGAGTTCATCCCCCACTTTTAAAATCAAGCAATACAATTAGCACGATGGACTTCACAGCAGACAGAGTAAGGAGGATTTTGAAACAAATACACCCCCACTAAATCGCCTGGTCCGGACTGCGTACTCGCAGAAGTCCTGCATGAACTCTCCGACCAAATGACCTCCCCGCTCTCCAAGATCTTCAGAACTTCTATAGAGGCTGAGGGTCTATCTACTGTCTGGAGACAAGCCAACTTAAACCCTATGTATAAAGAAGGCGAGAGAACAGCCCCAAATAATTTCCGGCCGGTGAGCCCCACAAGCATCTGTTGCAAATTTATGGAGAAGATAGTAAAAGCAAACTGAGTGTTATATCATGAAGAAAACAACTTGCTCAGTCTGCATCAGCTTCTAATCATGGAGACTTGGACGAAATAAATCAAAAGAGGTTTATCGGTAGACGCAGGGTTTACCGGTTTCAGGATGGCATTTGACAGTGTCCCACATAGACGACATGTATTTAAATTTCGTCGAATGGGCGTGAACGGGAATCCACTGAAATGGATAGACAAATTTCTTACAGGCAGATTTTAGTGTGTGTACTGGCGATGTAAAATCGCAGTGGGCAGCCGTTCACATTGGCGTTCCGATGGGGGCATTCTGGGTACAATTCTGTTCTTAACATACGTGCCCGACTATCTGAACTGTCTGAACTAATCTCAGATGGCATGAAGAAAGAAGAAGTATTAAGAGATATTTTATTAGATCATTGTCCAAATACGACGGCACTCAATGCCATTACTTGAAACCATGTCAAAATGCGGTCTTCGAGCCGTCTAATTCGGAATAAATAAAAACATAATTTTTATCTAGTATCGTGGGGATGCTATCATAGCTCTTGCAAACGAAATTTCAAGGCAATATTAGAACGCCTAGGCAAGCACGGTTCAGCGTTCAGTTCAGTATAATCAAAGAGGCAATCTCATAGGAAAAACGACCAGCAAACTGTTAAAAAACTCCTTTGTTTAAAAAAGACAAAGGGAATAGGAATTAATTACTCTTTAAGGAGAAAATCTGCCAATCGTGAGAAGGAAATTATGCGGGTCGGACAGGAGTAGCTTACGGATGGGAATATATGTGGGTTCGAAACGGTCATAGTCAGGGTAGAAATCCTAAAGAATATGGAGCAATTTGCCGCTGATGCGACCGTAATATTTTGCGATGACAACAGAAACAACCAACAAGGTGGAAAGAAAGGAGGGATCCAAAAGTGGTCGGTCGCAGTCCGCCTAGAATCCAGCCGAGGAGGAGACATTAAAGGCTGAAGCTGTCATTAAAGCATACGGGCAGATGCAATCATGACACTTACTTGCAGACTGGCCAAGCTACTAGCAGATAGCGAAAACGGAGGAGTCCGCTGTGATCGATAGTAAACCGCTTGGGGTCGAAAATGGGATGACATCAAGATCCGCGAGAATCATCGCTGCAAGGGAGGAGTAATAAGAGGTGATTTAGTAGCCAAGTAAAAACAGGGGATCGTAAACATATTAAGTGAGGCTTTCCACTTATGCGAGAAAAATTTGTGTGATCTGTCAGTAAACACCAAGAGGAGTCTTCTCAGATTCAAGAAGTTGAGTGTTTGGTAATGAAATGACCAATAACGATTTTATCCTTTCTAGTGTAAGATGCTTGCGAAATTACGATTTGAATATCGAAAACTGAGGCAATAACCCAAGTTCTGGTGGAAGACTATTCTGAAGGAAAACATATTCGAGTACAAAAACGAGAAAGCGTTTAGATGTAGAGCAAAGAGGCGACAGAATAAGCACGGAGGAATTGCGCGTATCATAAAACCGATCTGTCGGAGTCAGAGTGCTAATGCGCGGAGGATTGGCGCTAGATTTAATGCTCAAAAGTAAGCAAAGATCAGCTTTGAGTTTTTTAATCAACTAAAACTCGATTTTCACCAACTGAAGTCTTGCAGTATAAGAAATACTGGCTGCAGATTGAGAGAGGAGTTTCCGAATAGAAACTCTCTGAACATTTTCGATTTTATTACGGTCACAGGCGTTCATAAAGCCACGGAAATGACAGCAGTACTTGAGGACGAGAAACGCAAATATTTGATACGGCCAGTTGTCAGCAACCAGAGCATTTCGCTGACATCAAAAAACAGAGGAATGTATGTCGGAATCTGTTGAGGAGCGAACGGGCACAATTTGAGTCAAAACTATTAAGAAATATCCCGAAAAATTCAAAAAAATTATTTGGATACGTGAATAAAGCAAAACGCAACCGGGACTGCATTCCCTGCCTAAAAGATCGCCAGGGAAATACGTTGTCTGACAACTCAGATAAGGCGAATCTGTTGTTTGACTTCTTCACGTCTGTGTATACTGAGGAGCCGGCTTTTAATGAAAGAGTTTACCCCCCAAATGTCAAATCAAACAGCAAAATTAGCACGGTGGACTTCACAACAGACACGGTAAGGAAAACTTTGAGGCAACTACAGCCCA